CTGGACATATTTATTCACCGTTCCCACGGTTGCTCCTGGCGTCCATCGTCCCTTCATCATGAATAGCATGGCATATATAATATAGATAAATGGAAAGTAAGCCTTTTCAGGACCCACACGTCCTCCTTCGGCCTTACTAACCAATTCGGGGAACTCCTGCTGTAACTCTCCGAGACGAGTGCGGCTTACCCCTGGAGAACTGGTGAGTGTCACCTGCAACTCACCATTCGGGCTACTCTCGCCCTCCACTCGTTCTCTGGGTCCTACGCAGAGGTGATCTGTTCCCAGGCTGTCAGTCGACTCCTCAGCCCCATCAGATCCACAACCTCCTTGCTCTTCGCGTTGTCTCGGTGTCACAGTACAAACTGGGATCGCCACCGGTGCGATTCCCTTCTCGTCCCCACAGGCGTTCAAATCTTCGCCTGTCTCCTCGTGTTGTTCTGGGCACTCTTCGCCTTTCACGAGATGCGGGAGGACATATCCTCCACACGCGTCATTCCCCAAGATGACCTGCGCCTCCATCTTGGGCATTGATGTACAGACTCCCACCTCTAGGGTCTGGCAGCCATATTCGGAATTTAAAGTTACCTGGTGTAGGGGCATCCTCACTGGGCCTCCCACAGTGGCCACCCGTGCCACCCCCACACTGGTACTTTCGTAACCCTCGGGGAACAGGGTTTCACTTACCAGGGTAAAGTCAGCCCCGGTGTCTCTTAGCATCTTCACGGGGATGGGGTCTGCGACCCCCATCCTTACGGTTCCTTTACACATGAATGGGTGAACTTTCTTCTCCCCATGCAGCACGGGTTCATCCCGCACTCCCTCGGCCCTCTGGTCCTCGAACATCACTAAAGCAACGTGTCCCCGCTGCTTCGGGCGTCTGCACTCCCGCGCGACGTGTCCGGGTATTCCGCAGTTGTAGCAGCGGCCCCTCGGCGGAGACCATCCGCCACCGCTCGCCTTAGCACTGCCTCCAGAGACCGTCACACCCTGTGTCTTTCCCGCCTCACTTGTCGTTTCTTTCCCTGCAGTAACAGTTCCCGAGCTCTCAGCTTGGTTCTCCCCTATCGGCTCTATAGCACCTTTTGATCCTCGGGTGTTCCAACTTGAGAGGTGGGATTTGGGAGAACTCGTTCCTGTCCTCCATCCATCCGTCCTTCTATAACTCCTATCGTTTCCGACGTATGCGGGCGGTCGGTGCTGTCCCTCTCGGCGTGGGCGTAGGGCTTCTTCTAACATGTCGGCCCGGTCGGCTGCGGCCCTCAGGTCCTTTATGTCCGCCTCCTTTACCCTCATCCTGATCTCAGGAGGGAGCACGGACATAAACTTTTCCATGACCATTAGTTCCTTGATTTCTTCGGCCGACCCCGCTTCTTCAGAGTCCATCCACTTAAGGAACTTTCTTTCCATGTCCCTCGCCGTCTCCGCATACGATTTTCCTGGTGACCGGGTACATTCTCTAAACCTCTTCCGGTAACACTCTGGCGTGAGCTTAAAGGAACGGAGCACAGCTCGTTTTACCGCATCGTAGTTAGTGCATTCTTGGAAGTCGAGCATAGTGAAGGCTTGGCGAGCTTCACCTGTGAGCCTCCCTTGGACCAACTCCGCCCACTCCGCCCTCGGCCACCTCTTCATAGCAGCAACTCTCTCAAAGTGATCGAAGAAATCTTCGGCTTCACTAGGCACAAAGACCGGCAGGTCTCGTTCCCTCACTCGTCGGTCTTCCTGTGGCGGGGCAGGGGCACCTAGTCCCAGTTCAGCTGGCTTCAGCTCCACCTCCTTGTTGGCTTCTATTTCTTGTTGTCTCAGCCCTCGCTCTTCCCGGCGCAGCTGTGCTTCTCGTTCCTCACGCTGCATCTGTGCTTCTCGCTCCTCACGCTTCATCTGTGCTTCTCGCTCCTCACGCTTCATCTGCGCTTCTGCTTCTCGCTCTTCTTTGCGCTGCTGCGCTTCCTCTCTCCTCAGCTGCGCTTCTCGCTCTTCTCTGCGCTGCTGTGCCTCTCGCTCTTCTTTGCGCTGCTGTGCCTCTCGCTCTTCTTTGCGCTGCTGTGCCTCTCGCTCTTCTTTGCGCTGCTGTGCCTCTAGCTGCAGCTTCATTATTTCCAGCTTAATGCTGTGCCTGCTGCCGCTGGATCCCCTGCTGCTTCCACCAATACTCAAGTGTTCACCCTCACTGGCAGGTGTTTGGGGCCGTTCCTCCCCCAAAGCTTCGTCTCGAGCCTTGAGCTGAGCCATTATCTCTAGTCTTCTTTCACCAACTCGGGCAGATTTCAGCTTTATTCCAAAATGATCCGCTATAGCCTGTAACTGTGCCTTGGTGCACTCTTCCAGCACCTGTTCGTCTCTAGAGTCAATAAACCTCGCTACTTTATCATCCTCCATCTTGTGCTATGAGTGTTAACCTGCACCTGATCTCTAACACCACTGCCAAATACCACTGCAACCTTTACTCCGATCTATATCCTGGCAAGGTCGCCAATGTTGGGGTTTCCACCTCTCTATTATTCTCTACCCTTACTCTGGGGTGAGCAATAGTTATGCTCAAGGTAACTCACCGTAGCCCTGCGGGTCTTCCCTCGATCCTCACGGCGCCACTGCACGCCAGGAGAGTCTCCCAGTCAATCTTAACGGCCTCTAATTAAGAAAGAGTGAGAACACGACTCGTGCACATCGACTGTCGTGTGCCCTCCCCAACAATAGGGCTCTACGGCTATTCACAAGATCGCCAACTGGTGTTTAAGGTGGCCAGTAACACCATCAGTGGACTGGTGTATTCAGTGGTAGCCTTGGCAAGGTCACACTCAAAGATCAGGAATCAGGCAGGTACTTATTGTTATCACTCTATGCTGACAGGTATAGTATAGCCACAAGATCAATGGAGGGGATGATAAAACACAAAGAGAGTTTTGTATTTTACTTAAAATGTATGAAAGATGTCACAAAGCCAAACAATAATCAATTAAATCAACTGATCCTGACGCGGCTGGTAATTCCCACGAATAGTCCGCGATCATTAGGAGGCAACACCTCCCCCTCCTCATCAAGTGTCAAGAACAGCTGATCGCAATGGACTCTCCGCGCGAAATTTGCTTGTTTGCTAGATTCACGCGCGCGGTTTCTTTAAATTCTCCAATATTACTAGAAACTCGCACACTCTATATTGGCACAAATAAACCGAATTACTTAGTTACACTGTACTCAGGCTCAAACAGTCTTTTCTACAATCAATTCTACAATGATTCACTGTAATGGTCTTACACTGTTATTTATCCAACAATATATTATGAAATATTAACACGGGAGTTTTCAGTACTTTCTCTCGTTGGCGATAACGCAATAATTCACTGTACTCACAAATGATTATTCACTGAATGGACATAGACATATATATGGTATATAAATCAATCATCAATACATGGAAAATAAATAGTTTCTGGGCACATAGCCTAACCTCCGAATACTGGCATAATATTATATATAATTCACCACTATATGTTCATATCAAAATCTATAGAAAGATATACACAACACAGTAAATTTATCACTGGTTCCTGGTGCCTGTACACACCAATAATCAACATGAATATTACAAGTACTCTTGATAGTACTGTCTAGCACACTGGTGCTTTACCGTGACATAGGTGAGACTTGCTCACGACATATAAAATCTTCGGGCTAGATAATATAGCCAAATAATATAGCTAACTAAAGGGGAATGGGGAGGGAACTAGAACCACCTACTTCACCCTATCCTCCGATGAGAGTCGAGATGTAGCTCCTGGTCCTCGTGTCGGGAACGCCCCCACACTACACGTCGTCGTGTCCTACCAGAGCCTCTCGTCGTCCCACCGTTTAGCGCGTCGTCTCCGTGCCTCCTCACTGCAGGTCCGTCCTCCTCCTTGACTTCTTGAAGGTTGGAGTCGGTCTCCTGGCCGTCGTCTTCTCCCAGCAACGGCTGTCGCCTACGTCTCAGCTACAGTCGTCCGGTTCCCCAAATAGTCCTCTCTTCCTCAGCTACCCAGTGGCTCTGTCAGCCACTACGCTGTCACGAACTGGTGAATTGCCACAGACGTCACATACGTCACTGCACGGCTTCACTGCTACTGGCACAGTACCTGACTGGAGCACTTGTTGCTCAAATAACCGTCGATTCCCTCTTCTGGTTCAACACATGAACTAGGGAAGACTTCTCAGAGCACTGGCGGACTTCAGATGACGCGTAAATCCACGGGAGCGAGGTACAATGTCCTACTGACAAGACCATCCGTCGCACGTCCGACCTCTATGACGTGTCGTGTCTGACTGCTGGCGCCAGCCCGGCGCGCTGGCCGGACCCCCTTCCTTCGTGACGTCACTTTTACTATGGGAGGTTTTCATTGGCTCCCGGTGCCACACTGCTGTCGGTGACCAATCCGGTGCCACTGACGTCACACGGTTTTGGCGGGAGATCAGAGAGGTAAGCGCCATCTTGGCTCCCTAAAGGGCCTAAACCACAGGCCAAAATATTACTATTTCACAAATTTCTCGGCTCTCCGAGAACACTTCACTCTCTCCCATATATCAAATTGTAGCCTGCAACGTAGAGAACGCTTGGGAAAAGTAGACATGACTCTTACTGCAGGCGTGGGAGAATTATAAGGGGGGGAACTCCGTCACAATGGTCCGTCCATGGCCTGCACGGACCATCACCATCCACATGGTCCGTCCATGGTCTGCACGGACCATCACCGTCCACATATGGTCCGTCCATCACCTGCACGGACCATCACCGTCCACATGGTCCGTCCATGGCCTACACAGACCATCACCGTCCACATGGTCCGTCCATGGCCTGCACGGACCATCACCGTCCACATGGTCCGTCCATGGCCTGCACGGACCATCACCGTCCACACGGTCCGTCCATGGCCTACACGGACCATCACCATCCACATGGTCCGTCCATGGCCTGCACGGACCATGGCCGTTCTCTCCTCTACTACAAGTATTTACTCTTTCAGGTGTGGCTCCCGTCCCGTTGCCATGCCAACATGGAGCCCTTGGATCTACCTGGAAGAGGGAGAACTGCCAGCCAGGAGGTACTGCAGGATGCTGCAGTTGTCAGTTCTCCCGGGCTGGGTCGTCCCCATGACGCCGGCGCCACTCACGACCCGCACCACACTACAACTGTGTCGTCATCGTCACCAAGGTACAGTAAGAGACATTATTTTACACCTGACGCCATGCCCAGTGTTCTCAACCTTTCACCTTTCTTTATGTGTTCCTCGCGGCCTTTCCTTTGCTCTCCAGTACTTGTACTCTGAGAAAATAAATTTTCACAGCTGTCATAGTTGTATAAAGTGTATGACTGTATAAATCAGTGTGAACTCTCGTGTGTGCACTAATAGTACACACAAGTCGAAATTCTTTAACTAGGAACTTAAATCTGCCATATTTGGTAACTCCAGACAGCCCACATCATCAGTACACCAAAGATATTACAAGTGTGGTTGTATGCCTGGTCCCCAATTAATTAGAGCAGCTGAACATATATACATCAGTTGTTTAGCACCTCGCGGCTTCATCACTTTGAAGGCGTCAGAGGGAAATTTTCAGGTTTGTGGTTAGGAGGAGGAGAAATAAGGGTCGACCATCTATAATTACTCAACTGCCGTAGGCCTCAGCCATGACGTATCCATGACGTCATGGCCCTAACTGACATGAGTAATCTCTTTTCATTGGATCAGGCACTATTACTTGTATCTCATTAGCCACTCATAAACTGGACCATAAACTGGACTGTTGTACCCGCGGGAAAGTCAGTGAAGTATAGCTTGGGCGTGCCAGTCATTCTGCCTCCAGAGTTTGTCTACATCAGAAGTGCGTCAGTCAAGCTATATGGCCACTAGTGCAGAGTACCGCATGACAACTCGATACGACTCCTTAGTTCCATACAACGTGATCATCTAGAGAATCGCGGTCATGGTAGATGAATATCAATTGTGATTTTCGGGTTACTTGACTGGTAGAGAATTGATGTGAAACCCAGTGATCTCCAGCAGAGGAGATCACGGGGTTTCATCATCATTGACCTTTAGCACGGGTTGAGCTCGAACAACTGGACACAGGCGGTAACTTAGTACCGAAATAAGCCACTGAGACATTAGAACTTTTTTTTCAGTATCAGGGTAGTTAACAAATGGAATGCACTAAGCAGTGGTGTAGTGGAGGCAGACTCCATATACAGTTTCAAATGTAGATTTGATAGAGCCCAATAGGCTCAGGAACCATTACACGAGTTTATTGACTGTTGAGAAGTGGGGGGGGGGGGTATCAAAGGGACAAAGCTCAACCCCCCCACGCAAGCACAACTAGGTGAGTGCAACTAGGTGATGTTACAGAGTTCAGCCTGTATTCCCCTGTCCCAGCATAAGAGAGTCATACTTCCCTATCTGTTCATCTCTAGAAGAAGCTTTGTTTGATTTTTAATATTTGAAAGGATGCAACATGAAGCATTTAGAAGACATCAATTTTAGTTTACTGGGATGAGTCTATGTGGCGCCTCCGCCACGTGGAGATGGCGGAGGCGGATGGCGTTATATCCGTTAAGATATGGTGGTGTGAGCAAGATGGGCTGGAGAGCTCCCGCTCGGAGACGAGAATCCCAGTGCATGCTGGGTACCGTGCCAGCTGGGGCGTGATTGGTTGACGGCGGGGGGCTTGGCCAGGTTGCCCAATGGCGCCGCACCCCAGGCGTGACAAAGAATGACGTCAGGCGCCCCTGCAGAGTGAGGCGGGAAATCTGAGGACTCGATACCAAGGTTGCTGTTCAGCGAATGTAAGCTCGAGCGATTACCCGTTCTGGAGAGGTATAGGCCTCCAATGAGGTAAAATTCCATCAGCTGCCGTGCGTTAAGGAAGAGGGGGAGTCGACATTAAGAAAGATGGTGGCCTGTCGACTCCTGAGGGAGTATTGAGGAAGAATTGGAGGGTGAGGATTGCACCAGTGGCTTGGCGACGACAGTGAACTTGGGTACATCGAGAAGCGACGCTGGGGGTTGCTGGCCAACCGTGGACCGTGCACGACATGGAGTTGTATGAAGAAAACTTGGCAGAGGTCCTAGTCCTGTGCAGTTTAACAACCGTTTATCCATACAACGAAGTTACAGGAGAGGCAGGTGAACCAGTACGCGGAAGTGCATTGGTCTAGGTAGGCCAGACGACTTCGGTATCAATCTAACGTCTGGGAAGGAGGAGCGCTTGAGAAGGAGTGTGAGCTGGCAGCGTGTGACAGCGCTTCCCTCTTGGGAGATACACTCGCCAAGAGGGAAGTCGATTTAGATGTCTTGGACCTGTGAGGAGCTACTCAATGGTTCTACGCTGGGATGGATCTACGGTCTACAGTTCCGAGTTATAAGATAGATAACACTGCCCTCCCATTGTCACCTTTGGTTATGAAAGGTATTTCTGCATTAGTAGGGGTGATAAGCAGAAGTTATGTGAGGAGTGACAGTGGGTTTCGACCAGTGTTATTATTAATTATAGTGTACCAGTGTTTGTTTTTCATGAGTTGATTAAATAATGTTTTAAAAGTTCCAAGCATATAAAGAGGCATTGCAATATCTATTTATGTTCATTAGATATAAGGTGGGTGAGAAATAGCCTCATTACGATCAGTTGGAAAATATTGAAGTGTTTTCAATATTAGCCATATTGTGACTTAATTCCAAAAGTGTTGCCAGCGAACTGATCTATGGAGATTTTACTGGCTGGAATAGTGTAGCTTATTAGTGAGTAAACGAATCATATTTCACTAGTGTGTTTCCTTCCTCTGCTTCAATGCTTTTATATGATGTTATTGGGTTTACTTTACATCACAATATTACTGAGGGAGCACTTGACTGAGTGAGGCGACATTCCACTGTGTGGGAAGAATTACTTGATCACAGAGTAGAGCGAGACAAGTTGGCGACATAAAGAAAGAGACAAATCAACCAAATTCAGGGAAATAAATCACCGGTACAACTTTGTTCCAATAGGACTGAGACCCTAGGCCCACGGAGAGAGAGCACAAGAAGGTTTCTTAAGGATCTTGGTTCCATTCTCATTGACACTACAAGGGACCATAGAGTTGCAAGTTTTCTCTTCCAGCGCCTCAGTGTGGCGATCCAGAGAGGGAATGCCCGGCGTCGGAGTAGTTCGAAGAAATCTACAGCCTCTAGGAAACAAACTTCCCTTTATTTCCTCTTAATGTCCACTTTTTGTAACCAATCAGATATGTAACTGATTGGTTACAAAACCAATTGGTTACCTTGTATAATAAAGTGTATAACATAAAATAAAGGGGATGTAGGAGAAGTGAATACTCATACGTATTCAGAGTTAAATGGCAAGTTTTTATCTGAATGCTCTGTATTTCCTTCTTCGAGACTGAGTCCCTACAACTGTATAAGAGTAAGTATATTTTGGGAGCAGGTTTTTTTATCACATGTCATTAAACACAACACCCCCACCCCAAGCTCTTTTTCCCCCCCAACCCCCCTCCCTCCCTACCCCCCCCCACCCCAGGCTCCCCTTCATTCGCCAACCAATGACCTCACCACCACACGCCCCCCCCCCCCCCTGCTCCCCCATCTCATGTCCTTATTGATCCCCAACCCCAAACCCCTCTCAGGTACACCTAATACCTTCCTTGTTTTTTCATTCCGAATCCTTCAACCCCCCTTACACCCCAGATCCCCCAGGTACTCCTTCCTAGGTCCTCCTCCCTCCCCGAGACACCCCTTGTCCCTCTACTCCATTAGAATCAACAGAAACTGAGGATGGACAGAAGAAAGTAAGCTTCAAGGTAATGTACTCAAACATACATGGTATTACAAGCAAGGCAAGTGAACCTAGGGAAAGGGCCCAAGAAGTGAATCTGGATGTAATGGGACTCACAGAAACAAAACTCTCAGGAATCATAATAAATGCAGTGTTTCCCAAGGACTACACTGTAATAACAAAAGAGAAGGATGGAAGGGGAGGAGGCAGAGTGGCCCTACTGATGAGAAAGGAATGGAGTTTCGATGAGATGGTTATCCTGGGCTGTGAGGGGTTCAGAGACTAAACAGGTACCATGACGATGGGAGGACCAAGAATAGTGGTAGTAGCAGCAGTTATATATAACCCACCATCAAATGATAGAAGACCATGGCAAGTGTATGCCAGAAACAACATGGCAATTAACACTATAATTAAGAGGGCAGCCTCTACTGCCTGTAGCAATCGATCCATTCTGCTCATCATAGGGCACTTCAATCATGGAAGGATAGACTGGGAAAACAAGGAACATATGGAGATGAGGAGACATGGAGAGCTAAACTATCAGAAGTGGCGACAAGAAACGTTTTAAGTCAGCAGTAGTAGGAGCCGGTCGGCCGAGCGGACAGCACGCTGGACTTGTGATCCTGTGGTCCTGTGTTCGATCCCAGGCGCCGGCGAGAATCAATGGGCAGAGTTTTTCACCCTATGCCCCTGTTACCTAGCAGTAAAATAGGTACCTGGGTGTTAGTCAGCTGTCACGGGCTGCTTCCTGGGGGTGGAGGCCTGGTCGAGGACCGGGCCGCGGGGACACTAAAAAGCCCCGAAATCATCTCAAGATAACCTCAAGATAGCATGTCATGGGACACACAAGAATGAGAGGCAACGATGAAAAAGCGAGTTTCGACCTAGTCTTCACTCTGAACGACTCCGACATAAGGTAAATCGGTTTCAAAGCTCCTGTAGGAATCAGTAATCACAGTGTACTGATGTTTGAGTATTTGGTCGAAGTAGGGTTCATATGTACTCAAGGAAGCGCCCAGAAAACAAAAGGCTGCCATTCTGAAAGGAAAACTGAGGAGATAAGAAAATTCCTAATAGATATAACATGGGAAACAGAGCTCAGAGGAAAGACGGCCCAAGACATGACTAAATCACAAAAAAGTGTAAGGAGGCAGCAAACAAGTCCAGAAGGAACAAATTCAGATGAGAAACCCATGGTTTAATCAGAGATGTAAGCTGGCAAAGCAACTAAGTACAAGAGCATGGAGAAACTATAGGAATAACAGGACACTCGAGATCTGAGGAAGATACCAGAATGCCAGGAATAATCGTCAGTGTGAGAAGAGAGGCAGAAGGCCAATATGAAAATGACGTAGCAAGCAAGGAAAAGACTCAACCTAAATT